AAACATATATGTATATTTTTATTTTAAACAGTAAATATGCAATCTATTGGCATTTACTTTTGTAAAAGTAACAATTATGCTAAGGGTCATTATTATGGCTTGGTTGGTAATTGTGCACGTAAATAGGAATGTAAATATTGAGATTTGAAAGTGTGTCCTATCCGTCACAGCCATGGGTGGGACACACTGCTGAACGTTTTTTCTTTGAATAAATGTTTGTATTTTTATGGATTCGAGTTTTTATGATGTTTACTAGGTGTAACAGTTGCTTTAATTTCGGAGTTTAATATTGATGTGTTAAATTGGTACGATTGGTACACCATTTTGTGACAGGCGGGACAAGTTACATTTGAATACATAGAATTTTAAAAAATACACTGTTTATATGTAGATCCATCATTTGCAAGCAATTTTTTTATATTTCTTCTCATAATTAAGACATTATAACACATAAAAAAAGACAATCAAAAAGTAACAACATTTTTCCTGATGATTTTTAGCATCAGGAAATTCATGAAAAGTCTTTCTCCACTAGTTCTAACTATATATTCAACTTCAACTTTTGTGTCTATGGCTCCGTCGTTTTGCGCGACGATTTTGCCAATGTCAGGGTTGAAAGACATGTGTAGCGGTGGTGAGATAGATTGCCGGTTATTAAAATACTTCGGCGGTTTTTATTCACAATGACGGTTATATATATATTTTAATGACATTACAAAAATATAATTTGAGAGCTCATGTTATTTTCTTTCTTTTAGAAACATTGTAGGAAGTTTATTTAGCGGGAAATAAAAAATAAAATCGTTTAGTAAAACAAAGTTAGGCGTCGTTTTCGTTCAGTAACAAACTATTGACCGGTGTCAGCGTGGAAAATTATCAAGGTGGATGGGAAAAGAAATAAAATTGCGAAAGGATTTTACAAATTTATTAACGCATTTCACATACACGTATGTGATGTGCTTTGATTTCAGGTCGTCATATATCTATGAGTGCTTCAAGAAAAATAGTAGGATTACTTTATCAGTTCTTTAATTCTGTTTTTTTATGCTAAAATGTCTTGATAAGACAAATATTATAAAACATTTGCTTACTAGCGATGGATCTCATATTAACAGAGCAATTTTATTAATTCTGTGTATTCAATTGTAACTTGTCCCACCCATCACAAGTTAACATATTAATTTCCTTAAAATTTATCAAAGTTATTAATTAAGTGTATATATAAATTATAACTTTAACATTCAAGTTATCGCATATGAAAAACTTGCTGAACAAAATATTCATAATTTGTCTTGATCTTGGCAATGAAGCCATCAACTCAAACAGGCGGGTGTCGTGAGTGTCCCACCCGTCACACTTAGAAAATTAAAAGTTGTTAGTATAAATAATGTCATAAATTTATGTAAATAAATAGTCGCATTTGAATGGCCTGTCTGGTTTCATGATATTTTCATTTTAAGTCTAATTAAACAATGGTTAGGGAGAAATTACATAAAGTTCATGAAACAAGGAGTCAAAATGTCTCACCCGTCACTTTCGAAATTCAATAAAAATAAAATTCGATCAGTACATACCTACATATACACAAGTGTTTAATTAAGGTAATATTTTATAAATTGTACACACGCCAGCACATCAAGCTACACATTGACGTATCTTGTTCTGTTGCAATCGAGGCGATTTTGGAATAAAAATGTGTAGTCTGATGTGCCGTTGTCCATACATCAATATAAACACAGGAAGACAGTGCACATTGAAATTGAAGGACAGTTTGATATCGTAATTAAATACATTTTTTATTTGTTTATTCAGGGCCTGTGATACCTTTCATCGCTGTAATCAGGAATTGGACAATTGCAATCATACATAACTAATTAGAACTCAGAGTCAACAATATTATATGATTTAAACTCCTAAATGATTCTGGCATCAATTTTATTAATTTTAATCTCATCTGCCTGGTTTGCACATGCAGCTATCTTCGGCACCTCAATTAGTTGAGACCAATAGCAAATTGTTTGCGTCTGCCACATCTCTTAGACTGTCACTTAATTTCTTGCCTGTTGCCACGAAAATTGCACTTGCCCAAACTCTTCTTCTTCCAACTCTTGACTGTGCTGATGTCTATTATTTAGATTTAACCGAAGAACTGCTCAACAAGCTTGAACGTCTACAAAACTTATGCATCCGTTTCATTTAAGGTCTGAGGAAATTTGATCTTGTTTCCATTTACCTCAAGGAGCTGAAGTGGTTACCCATTAGACTTCGCCGGAATACACATATTCTTAATCTCCTTTATGGCATCTTATTCATTCCTCACACACCACCTTATCTTAAGGAGCGATTTGAATTCGCCCATCAATCCAACCCCCGACTTCTGCTCTCATCTTCCACTCTCCAATTTCAGATGAAATTGCATACCTCCCTGTGTTACGACAAGTCCTTTACTGTTCAGGCTATTTGTTTGTGGAACATTTTACCTTTGTTTATTTAACAAGTGAAATCATTGAATATATTCAAAAATATGGTAAAAGAACACTACCTAACTTTAGTGTGACGTGAACTGCTTAGGTATTTTAAGTTTTGAAATTATGTTTCAGAAATTTTATATTTATAGGTGTAAGAATATACAGTAGTTTACAATATTCATTATATATATATTGGTTTTATTATGTATAAATATATGTATATTTATACATAATAAAACCTATATAATATAAATATCGAGAAAATATATACTCGTATATCGAGTTCTTAGGTTTTCGCGATTGTTACACATAGGAAATGAAACTCAACCGTGACCATGGGACCTGTAAAGGGCCTGAAACGTCAGTTTGTTTGAAAAAACAAATATACGCGATTTAAATCGGAAAAATAGTTTCATTTCCTATATATGTATATTTGCATTTATTTATAAATTTTTATCTATCGATTAGTAATTCTTCATACACCGCCGTCTTTTTCCTGTGAATTATATAATTACTTCTATACAAAGGTTGTCTGGCAGAAATAGCTTAAAGCGATAAGACCGCCCATTGTACCAGTGCTTATTTTTAATTTAATTGTATTGTATTTGTTTCCTTTTTGGTATACAATAAAGAATTTTTGTATTGTATTCTATGTTTGCCCTAGAGTGTGTATAGATGTCTATGCCTATACATTTTTGACAGATCACATTGATGAATGCATCTTAAATTATGTAAATAATATTATCATTTTACAATACGAAGTGACGGAACAAACAAGCCGTGTGCCTGGTGTTAGGCAACACACCTGTCCATGCCAATGAGATCTTCAAATCACAAAGATCTGAGGGGCACTGCCACTGCGCCCGTCACCCTCAGACATAAGTTGACAAGCCCCAGCCCATGTGCCTTTAATTTCACCAGAACCCTTGCCCTTCAAAGCTGGACGCAGTAATGCACACTTTACTGCTTAGCGGCAGAAATAGATAAGGTGACTGTACTTCCCTGGACAAACTGTTTCACAACAAGCTTTACTGCTAATTTAGGAGATGCAGAGGTGTTTCATCTGCTTCACAGCAAAATCTACAATCTCCATTCATTTTTAGCTACAGAGCGAATATTTAGTCATTCAAGTCACAGTGCCGCATGAGAACCTGGGCATTATTGGGAGGTCATTCTCGCCTTGTAACAATCAGTACAGACATTGTGACAAAATGAAAAACAAAGAAAAGAAATTTTTTGTTAAATATTTCCATGGTGGAGAAGATTATGGTTAGGAAACAAAACTGAAAATAAGTTCCTTCACCAGTATTGTCATAAACTACAGCCTTAACCCTCTTCTCATTAAGGAGAATTGCTCAACTCCAATGTTTGGAAATGGATAATACAATAATTATGGTATCCTTATAATATTTCAGCAAGCATTGTAATGGTAAAATTATTAACCTAAATCAACCTGCTCTCATTTGGCAAAAAGAAAGCATTAAATTATTTTTTAATTATAATATAAATATATTAATTAAGGACGTCAAACCATGGACGAACAATTTATTTTTTCCGTCTCGATATTACAAGAACAGTGTCACAATTCATTGAAATCAAATTACATTTAGTTTTGTTACAGAACCAATAGCAACACAGTTTAAGACGCTGTTTAAAAGGAAAATGTTCCACAAACCGGTTTGACAGGCCATGGTGTACCAATATTTAAAATCTAGAGATTTGCATAGTTTATTTATAAACATGATCTAGAAGGTGAAAAGGACCACATTGGTTGAGCCTTTAAGACAATTCCCTTGGGCAATTTTTCGATAATCAATTATTTCTCATTTGTCATCAGGTTTAAAAAAAATGTTATTCATAAAAAAATCGGGTTGTTTCCATGCAATTTTTTTCTCTGACTTTATATGTAGTAATTTATATAAATGGATCTATACTTTGAAAATAATAATAATGTACCATAATTCACATTCATAAAAAAATGTAATACACTGAACGGAAAATCACAAATACGATTTCCATAAATTATCATAAACATTAAATAACTTTAAACATGTTTAAAAACTTAAATATCTAGTTTAATGAAATAGATAGACGACATTCCACATTAATGATAAATAAATAATTTATATTATAATTCAAATAGTGTCAGTGGATAAAAGACAATAAGGGTCTCGCCTGCATACTTTTAACAATAACAAAAACTCTGCGTACTCAAGGCAAACGAATGACGTAAGCCACTCTTACCTTACGAACTCTACACAGTATCTTGCATATCAAAGTGATTTAGGAATTCCTAGACTCGTTGTAATATTCTATAAAGACCAGGTAAACAGCCACTACAGGAAAATATTACGAGAAACATTGCAAATATTGTGCCTACAAAGACTGGTACATAAATACGCTGTTGAGGCTCTTAAATAAACACTTGCCTCCCCATAACAAACGCAAACGCTTAAATTGTCGAGGACACGCATAAACCGAAGGCAAAACGATTTGCAAAGGAAATTACAACACAAAGTTGTTTTGACATACCTTTGGTTTGTAGAACCATTTTCTGAGAGACTCCATTGGACCAGTTTTGTATAACAGCCGCATATGAGCAGATCACTGCACCATCACACACATCATAAAACGAGGATAGCACCAAAAATCACTAAAGCAGATGAGAACACAATACGTAATTCACCAATATTTACGTCAAACAACACAAACGGCAGACATGTTTCCACGATCGCATTCACTATTTTATGACCGAATGAAATGTGTGCGCATTGTGCACAACTTGTTCGCCTCGAATGAACGATTACGTTACGCTTATGCTATCAAATCGCAGATATATTCAGTTAAATGAAATGCGTTCGAATACACGTACTTGTACTGTTACTACCTATATGTAATAAATACAACAACTAATTTTATTGCACAGGGGTGGCTTATGAATACTCCAAGAATAGTGGTGCAAAAATATTAAAATATTATATATAAAATATTCAGTTAAATAACACACCACAAATGATGCACTTACAGTACGTATACATATAAACAAGATTATTATTATTATTGTATACATACGTAGCTATGAAATCTATTTTTCATTGTTTTAATCATTCATTTTATTTTTAATACTAAAAATAGAGAAAGCAGACAAAAACAACTCAATATTTAATATGATTTTGTTTGTGACATCCACTTTAAAAAAAAATTTGCATAACACTTTTTTACGTGTATCCGAGTCTATACTCGGATCATCGTCTATACGATGAATGAGTTGAATTATTGTTGGTTGGCGAAACTGTAAATTTTGTAAAAGAGAATGTAAAACATTTTTTCCCAAATAGTAGGTAAAAAAGTATTAGAAAATTATTTACTAAATTAATTTCAGTACAACAAAAAAATACAATCTATATCGAGTTCTTAGGAAATAAATTAAAAAATAAATAAATTCTTTGTTTTTTCAAATATACGGGATTTAAATCCGGAAAAATAGTTTCATTTCCTCGAAATTGAAAAAATTTCGGATAAATTGCAAATTATTCTCTGACATATTTGTTTCTGGATATAACTATCAGCTTTACAGAGTATTTTTTTAATAGGACTGTATGGGGAAATAATAACCAGTTATGATACAAGGAAGCTGTCAATATGAACCATTAAGTCTTTTTTTGTGAAAACAATTTTGTAAAGTTAGTAAATTTTTTGGTCAAGCGTGTGTACATGGACACATAAAAATTAATAAAACTGATCAATATTTTTTTACTGCTAATCGACTAAGTTTCATGAAGGGATCATTGTACGGGACGGAAAAAAAATTGGGACAGCAGTAGTTGGTCAAATTTCATAAAATATTTTTTCATACGAAATGAATAAAATTTACTATTTTTTTTTTCTTTAATGCTAATAGACTCGATTTATAATAAGGATAACTTCATTGTATCGAAAAAAAAATTGGGACAACAGAAATCAAATTTAATAAAAAAAATTGTTCAAATAAAATGAATAACATTTCTTTAAAATTGACTAATTTCTGCTGTCTTGGTTATTTTCTTCTAATACCATAAAATCATTTGTTGAAACCGAGTTCACGAGCATTCAAAAAGCATTTTTATTCATTTTGTATGCAACTCAATTTTAATAAAAATGTTGGTTGTGCCCTTTTTTCGTCCCGATGGCAGTAATGTCACATTACTGCTTGGAGGCAGAAATAGAAAATGGTGGAAATGCTTCCCTGGACAAACTCTTTTACAAGGAGCTCTACTTCTACTAAAGAAAGAAAATATTTGGTCTCATTTTCTTATGACCAATTATAAAGCAAATCTTAAAAGTAGGTATACATTATGTTTCAAAATGGCCTTCACTCAGCATAGCATGCTGATTTTGTGTAACACTTTTTGAATGAAGAACCTAAACTCACCTATACAAAATAAAGTTGGTAAATTCTACTACTCCTACGCAATATGAGTAGTTATAGTAAAAACAAAACACAATACATAATGGTTACCTATAACTGAATACGCGTTGTTTATGACATCGATATCGTTGACTAGTACGGGGCGCGTATTTTCTCATTGTGAGAATCGAATAAGTTTTGTCAAATAGGTGTATGTAACCGACTAGAATAACAGCATCATTATTTTTTGTGAAAAACAATAAGATTTACTTTTACAAAGAAAATGTTGTGCCTTGTCTTTGCAGGTAGGTATGGGTAGTTAAATACATACCTACTTCTAACGATATTGACCTCCTTCATCGTCATGTTACCTTTTTATCATCCTCTTTTCTGGTTCCTAGCCACTTAATTTTAAAATGTATTAAAGTAAAACTGATTCACAGTTTTTGAATTCTCATTTTCTTCACTATATTCTTACGATTGTTCAACACGTCGTCATTCCCTTCAAAATTCTTGAAACCAGAGAGCGTGACAATATAAAATTTTAAATCACCTTCGTTTCCTTACTGTTCAACTTCACGACGATTAAGTACTAAAAAAAAATGCGTTATGATAATTTTTTTATTGAGTGTTTTATAATTGTACCTTTTCTCATTTCATTTTATTATTCCTTATACCTTCTATTATGCCTTCCTTTTTCTCTTATAACATCGCTTTAAATAAACCTTGTGGACTGAGCCTTTATACATTCTCATTTCTGTAACTCTAGCCTATAACACATAAAGATGCCTAAAGTGTTGACATGCAGTGCTGGATTAAGCGATTTGAGTGCCCTAAGTATACTAATTGGGTACGTGATTCTCATTGTCGTTTTCAGCCTAAGGGTTCGTGCAGCGTGCCACCGATGTATGTCGAGTCGGTCGCGTCGACTCGCAATGACGAAATACAGTGCAGCATGCGGACGACTAGCGAAGTAACACTACCGGCGACCGATCGATAGCTTAATGAATTTTCGCATAATTATCGTACCTACAGGAAAAATGGATATAGTAGCAGAATTTTTTTGTTGAAAAATTCCGTTTTATGGAACCGTGCCGTAGGAAGGATAAGAAGGAGATTTAACATTCATCCAATCAATATTCTGCGGCGATTACGAACTGCATCAATTAAGGTTAATTATATATATATATATATATACCCAGATACCTATCTATATATAATTCTAATTATATATAGATAGGTATCTGGGTCCATTATTGTAATTTTATTTACTTATGTATAATAATCTAATAATAATAATGGGCATATTAATTGATCATCTAGTAGTAGTCGCAAGACTTGCGACGAAAGATTGCTGCAAGTCTCACGACCGATTACAATTTTAACGCCCTATTAGTTCAGACACTTTTTAGCGCGGACCCGACGTCCATATAATTGTAAGTCAATGTTTTCTAGTTTAAATTTGTGTTTCCAATACTTAGTCATCGAGAGCTATTGCAATAGCTGCCAACTCAAGAGAAAAATGGAAATTACCAAAAAAAAACGGCGGTTAATGGAAACGACAAGGCCCAGACCCGACACGGTGTAAGGTGAATCAGCCTTTACTCTGTTTCAATTGGAAAAGGTATTCTACATATATTATACATTCTTTATTGCACAAAGAAAAGGCACTTATAACACATGTTACAAAGGACTAATACAAACGTGATCTCTAGAAGAGATGTCTTCCAGCTAACCCATCCATCCATCCATCCATCGGTGACCTTACCGTGCGTCTGACTCCGTCGTTAGCGATAACTTGTCACTGTAACTCGTGTCAGAGGCACTGGTCCATAGTAAAAATGTTTATTCCTGTTCGATATGAGACAGTCTACACGGGTATAATGCAATAACATTCACACCCTGTAATATCATCAAACCATTTTTTTCATCTATACGTCCCACTGCTAGGCATGGGTTTCCTTTCAGGCGGCTTCGGACTGGTCCAATGGCACATCACACGTCTTCTGAGGGTTATGAGCCTTCTTATGAGATATCATCACCACGTTTTCCTTCACCGAAATACTCATGGTAAAATTCAAATAAAATTTCGCACATAAACTCCGAGACTTGAGAGAGATTCAAACCCACGGTCTCTGCTTGAGAGGCGGTAGGTCAAACCTACCTAACTAGGCTACCACGGCTTTTTCCTGCTTAATTAATGCTATAATAAAAAATGGTTACCCTAAATCATCAATTTTTTCACAAAATTGGATTTGCAATTTTCAAACAGAGCCGTTTACCTTTCATCTGAAGACAAAAGCAACAGTAATTAAGGGTTTCCTTGGACATTTTGTTTAACTTTAATTCTATAATAAAATTTTGGCTATGACTTTTAAAAAGATGACACAAATTAAATTTAAAAAAGGTAAGTTATAAAAAAATGTTACGACCTTTGTTATGACAAATGATATATAAAGAAGAAGAATGTGGCCAATATTTGAAGGCAAATTTTAACCGACTTAAAAAAAGGAGGAGTTTTATAATATCACTGTTTTTTTTTGGTGTATGTGACGCGATTGCTCCGACAATTGTGAACCGATTTTGATGATTCATTTTTGTTGGAAAGGGCGTACTTTTGTAGTTTACTACTTTTAAGGGTAGCAAATTAGGGAATGAATCCAGTTTATTGGTTTACACCCATTTTCCGTTAACCGATTTCAATAAAACTCGGTAAATAGATGTAGTTTCACCTTTGAGGTCTTTTTTTAATAAAAAAGTAATAAATTAAATTTAAAATTTTTTAATTAATATCATTTTTCAATATTCACTAAATTATATGCGTGAAACTAGTGACCGAGTAGCATATACGCCAGCTAAAACTATAGTATAAAGTAATCTGCTACAGGATGCAGGTCACTTGGTAACCCTCAGGTTATAATTAGTCCGTCACAGTTGTATAATCCTGAACAGTTTTATAATTGAAAAGTAAACTGAACGTTTTTTTTGAGGGATTACATGGAGGCTAGCGGAGCTTTAATTCTTGAAACTTAAATATCTAAGATAGATTACTTGTTCATAACCTTTCATCCAAAAGTAGAGAATTTACCTTTCTTCTAAGAGTAAGCAGATTGACATTTGCAGTACTGCAGTAAAGATACAATCTTGTAGCTTTTTACACCACACACGGGAGAATATAGGTGGTTAAATTCAAAATTGTAGTTACAACTACTGAATAGAAACTCCAAGCCGCTGTGACCTCGACCTACGGTCTTAGTTCCACCCATTAATT